GAATCCGAGGGGAAGGGAACGCGATCCACCTGTGCGCTGCACTGTCGCTGGGCGCCATCCTGTCCCCTCAGCAAGGGGTGGCTCTGGAAGCCTCCGCTGACGGCCATCCGAGGAGTGGCGCGCTAGAGGGGAGTCTGTGCACGAGTAGGAATAGACCACAATAATATAATGTGGGAAATGTATTGTGGACATATATGGTGGGTACACTGGGTTGGGGATGTACAATTCTTTTTAAATATGCATCAATACGACATCATATTCGGTCCCCATTGTTGCCTCCCCGCAGCTCTGAACCGTGGGGATGGCTGGGCGTTGAGAGGGTGGACTGTAAGAGGTGAACAGACGCGTAGCAAAAGTGGATTCGACGGACTGGTGTGGCAATAGCCACCGTGTCTTGAGTTTTGCTGCTGCAGCGAAACTCGGCGATTCACAGCATGTGAATCGCTGCCGTTGTGTGCTGATGCTGTGGGGCTAACACCACTCAGGTGGTCGTTTTCTGTGCTGCGAATGGCACGCTCCCATGCCTTTGTTGCCAAATTTCGTCCATCCCATAGTGCTGTACAGATCGTTGTCTGATTTGAGTTGCAGCAATCGGATAATTCCAGATTACCCTGTCGCTGGTTCACTCAGCTCAGCAGACAGGCGAAAGCACATTACACTTCAACGATTGAAGTGGGCCAAACAGTTGTAACGTTATTGGGAATTACATTGTGTGCAGAATGACTGGGTTATCTCAGCAAGGTGTTTGTGTGCTTGCCGTATCTGCAGGAAATATTGGTCGAGAAGCGACTCGAACCAAGACCAAGGGATCGGAAAGGTGGACCGCCACTCAGTCTCATCAGCACCCGTCCCTATGGTTATCTGCTTGTACAAGAATGTGTAGCATTGTCATGATGTGGAGAGCTGCTGCCTGAATGCTTTAACTGACGGACTACAATCGATTTGGCATTTGCAAAAGGCGGCCGTCTGACATGGCAGCCACCCAGGCGAAGATCCGCAAGCGCCAAGCCTTCGCCTGTCCCATCTTCCCGGTCGATTGCATTTGCGTCGAAGGAGACGAATCTGGGGTCTTACAGCTCATGAACACATAGCCAGCGATTCCGCCATGGATACCCAGCTTACACGGGCCTCTAGGCCTTGTACGTCCGGCCTCACGCAGAAATCCGGGCCTTGGGCGAGAAACACGCGGGAAGCCGCTTCGATTCTCACAGAATCGCGTGGAAGCCCCGTGCACTCCAACGGCGAGATTGCAATGGGAGCGCTCTGTCGCAATTCGAGCGCAGGAGATCTCAAACTCTTGGGTGAGAAGCCGATCTGGTTGAGCTGCGTGCCACGGCCTGTGCTGACGGGTCGCACATGAGGAGAATGCCAACAGAATGTTTACAACTTCGCGGTCTATGGTTCGTTCCGTTCAGCCCCTCAGGCACTGGGCACAGCTGCATGCGGTCCGCACACAGCACGGAAGCCACCCTCAAAATACCTGAGCGGCGCCAAAAAGGGCAATAAAATCAAATTTTTTACAATTTCTATCAGGTCACGTCCAAATGTGGCAGTTCACATCATTCTCACTCGCCTTGCGCCCCACACTCTACTATTCGTATCACATTGGAGCATTGTTCCCCGAACCTCACAGCATGCTCTTCTAACCCTCACATAGACCCCTTGCAATGCTCATGTGGCCATCGCTAAACTCCTCCGTCACCTTCACAGCACACGCGCAGCATCGCAATGAAATCTGTGCCGCGATCTGAAAGATTGGCATGAATATTAATTCACGCGCACGGCTCCACCTGCAATTTTCCTGCACTGCAATGTACTGCTCACAAACGACGCTGCGACGTCACAGCCACGCCACAAATCAGCCCAGTGATATTTCTTGATTGAATCAAAGGACTGGCACGTATCAGTCTTTTACAGTCCTTTACACTCGGCCAGCACATCAGCAACAAAAGTCTGTAGCTTTTCATGACCAAGTTCGTGACCAAATTCTTGATGTTTCCGTGCGTAACAGGTCGCATTCCTACTGGGTTGGTCAGACCTCACATAGCCACGTAAGATACATCTATCTGAGGCGGAAGAATTGAAAGAGATGATGTCACACCTCGCCGTAGCAAGGCCTATAGGCTGCCCTGAATCAATTTTGCATTTATCAGCATGAAAATCCACTTCAGCTTTAGCGTTTTGTGCACGGCAATCGCTGAGAAGTCAAACTTATTTTCATCAAGGATCTTGAGAGCTCCATAAACACTTAAGGCAGGACGTCAGAGTTTTGGTTCGTCAGTGTCTTCAGCATAGGCTTGCAGGCATTTCCAAAAATGATATTAATCACACAGATTGAACATCATATTGTTTGAAATTTGGGAGCACAGTCATCAAATAGCGTAGATTGCTTTGCAGATGCTGTAGATTGTTGTAGCACGCATCAACATCTCTCTTGGGTCAGTTCCAGTAGACCACCTTTGATGAAAAGCTTTGGCCGTCGTTGACAAAATCTTCCCGTTAGGGAAAGTGTCTGGGAAGTTTTATCCCAGTCCTGCTGTTTCAACCTGTGCGCCTACTGTGGCTGCCCTGTCTGCCACTATGGGTAATCCGATGGCACTGCATCACCGGCCCCTGCGAAGGCCGTGGCATACAATTACTGGCTGCACCAAATCGGTGACTACTTGCACGAAATCCCTCCAAAAATAACCTAACCTGACACTTGACCCCTAAATCCTAAACCTAAAAATACCCTTACCCTAAACTGAGGTGAGGACCTAGCGTGTACGTGATTAGTCACGCAGTCACCGACTTGGTGCAGGCAGTGATAATGTTTCGAAGCCGTCATCGCGCTACACCACCGCTGCTCCCCGCACCTCTCGCCGCTCGCGCGTCCTGCATGCTGCAATCCCAAGCAGCCCTTGAGGCCTCCACCCGGCCAGTGGATCCATCAGCGAAGATTCTCCACAAGTCACGGCTATCGCCGGTCCCATATTGCCATCGGTGTTCGCAGCCCCTTGCTCCCAATCGCCGGTGCGAGGCAATCGACGCGCATTGCTGTGGCCGATCGGTACAGATCCATCCTTCCAGCAGTTCTGCGTTGTCGGGCGCAGTTGTGAAGTGAGGACGCGACTTGGTGAGCCAAGCGCGTGCGTCCAGAGAGGTGGAGCCCAGTGCGTCACTTCAGTTCCTGGGATGCAGGACCTCCTGGCATCGTCCTCGGTATCGTGTCCCGTATCTTGGCAGAATTGGGGGCACGTCGAGATACGATTACGTCTCTCTGTGGATTTTCGCCACTTCCCAGCCACCTTTTGAGGCTTACGGGTGGCAGATTGGCATAAATTTCATATCATATATTGGCGACCCGAACACCTTGGATTGGCGTTGTTACGACACATAAATTGGAAAGGCCAGAAAGGCAGTGACGGGGTCCATACTCTTAATTAAGTGATTCGTTGTACAGAAAGTCATATTCAACTTTTACCAATGGCATGGAGTGCAGCGAAGAAACAAGACCCACGACATACTCGCCGCAGACAGCCACCCAATGCTGCCAGCCCCTACACGCCGCCCCACCTGTACAGACCAACCCAAGTCCTCATCGGCAGGCTCGCTTTGCGGGGCCCCTGGGACCGCACGGGGTAGGCGCACGGGATGAATGCAGGGCTGCCCAATTCAGTAAATTGAATACATGAAGTGCTACACATCATGGTAGCTTAGCCTTAAAGAGGCAGCCGCCAGCACCCCAAAACCGACTATTAATCAGCGGGCACATGCCCCAGTGCCACCGCCCTGAGCCACCCATCAATTTGCGCTGAAACTCTAGCGTCTTAGCCACTTGATGGCCACATCTCATTGCAACACTCGTCGCTTACACGAAAGCCTTCTGTGTGGCCACTTCGCACACGCATACAGCCTCCCAGGGTTTGACGATGCATTGAGCTCGGCTCCGATCGATCGACCTCCGCACGAACAGTTTCAGTACAGTACAGTACAGTACAGTGCAGTGCGGTGCAGTACAGTACAGTACAGTTTCCGGTTTACAGTTTCCATTTCGCGTTTGTGGAACAATGGCATTAAAGCCCAGGAGAGACAGAGGCACCCAATCAACACAATCAGGTCTTGCAACAAGCCCGCACACAAATCCAAGACTCGCACCGAGTACATGCTGATTGACGCACACAGAAAAAGGCCAACTCCTTCCATTCTCCTCTCCACGTACATTCTTTTGAAGTGCACCGCCTGTGCACTGCTTCACGCTGCGTCTCCCTTTTCATCACATTTTCAGCCTCATTCGTTTGCGTTCATGCCCCGTACAAGGCATCCCACTACAACGCCATTTCGCCATCAATGCACCGCCTCTCAAAACGAGTTCCCCGCACGCTCTCAGCCTTCTGCCCCTAAAAAGCAATCAAAATCCAAGGCCGAGACGCACATGGAGCAGCCGTTACCCCTCAAAATTGTAGCCTGGCAATTGGCTATTTCCAAAGAGCGCATGGAACGTGCAAAGTCAAGCTTTCCTCCTATCCTGTACGTACAACGTTCACATACACTGGGTCACTCTTCTCATAATATATTCTACCCGCCCCGCCCCACTTCACTCCAATCGGTTCCCCGTCTCCTTCCCTGTACAAAATGTTGCCCTCATACTGCCGCACACTCGTGCCTGGTGCCATACCCAACCACCCCCAGTTCTCAACGCGCCATTGGAATCCCAGCAAACGTGCGAGCAAGGAGCTGCAATCCGTTGTGCACATCCCAGGCGCATATTCGCATAGCCTGACTCAAAACCGCACCCGCCCTTTCTCCCCCCTGCCATCTTTATCATCTCCCAAAGACAACTCACGCTCCACTCTAAAACACATGTCCCACAAACGCTCACACAACGGCGCAGACCTCTTTGGACACAACCAACTGCATCTGCGCTCTGAACACTGCGGCAGCAAGCCTCATCAACAAATGACCGATCTGTCTACCACATCAAAATACCATCAACAGGTTCAACATCTTGCACCAATCCATCACTGCCCCGCACCCGCACTCTTCAGGATCCCGTCCGCCAGGTTCTGTGGTACTTCCTGGTATGAGTCAAGCTCCATCGTGAAGACCCCAAGGCCGCTCGTCATCTGCTGCAGGTCCGCTGAATAATCGAGCACAGCTGCCAGGGGGCACGCACAACGGATCTCAGACATGTGGCCCTTGGGGTTGACGGCAAGGACTTGGCCCCGCCGCCGCAAGAGGTCCTTGGATATGCTGCCCACATTGGCGTCGGGCACGTTGATGTTGGCCATCATCACCGGCTCCAAGAGGGTGCACTTTGCTCTGCAGCAGTTGCGACATTGTCACATCGTTGAGTTGTGGACATTCGAACCGAATGCAAGACAAAACAAATGCAAAGCAAGAGCAGAAGTACACGTGCAAACAGGAAAAAAAACGCAGACCTGCTGATACATGGCATTGCATGTAGGTCGCATTCGCTGATGTTTAATTCGTGTGAGTTTCCGATATGTTTCTTCTATCTAATTAGAGAACATTTACAAACACCTGTCAAGGCACGCAAAGCAATGTCACATCACAGTTTTTGCCCTGGAAGCCGTCCATTCTTCATGTGAAGCAAATGTCGAATCTGTTGAAAGGCCATCTGCAATCAGTTTGGAGCCAACCATTGACGATGTTGTCTGGCAGATGCAGCAGACACAATCCAAGAGATTAAGTACAAAATTTTGCATTCAATACAACTGAAAGGTCAAAATGGCCCAATTTGGCCTTGTGGCCTTGTGGGTGCTTGGACATGATGAGTGAATGTGGACAAAAAGCAGTGTGACAGCTGCACGCGCAATCACCACAGAGTTCCATACGTCCAAACCGCTGTGCAGAGCAGGAATTGAGTCGACAACCAGAGATAAGGTCGTTGTCCTGCTCAAGTGAAAAGATAATCACAACTTAGACATTGGAACCGCTTCCGACACAAAGCTGTTACCACAATCCACACATTTGGCAACACTGCAGTTGCTTCACCAGCCACTTACTAGCCACTTGGTCATTCAAACTTGACGTTGACTTACAGTAGAATTCTGCAAATCTGGCTCCTCACACCCCACAACAATTTGCCTTACTTTGACAGGGCATCGCGTGCTGCCAGAATGCCGGCCTGATGGAATGCGGCATCGCCAGAGTCCACGGAGTGCGTCTTGCCATCCACCAGCCTCACCCTCACGTCAACGACTGGGAAGCCGCCAAGAGGGCCATTCTTGAAGGCATCACGAACACCACGCTCAACACTCCCTGGAAACAAACCGGGCCACTGAATCAGGTGCACAACACCATTCGTATGTTCGCGGTTGCAATCTACACCCATCAATGCCACAGCTAGTGCAAGGAATCTCCTTTGCAATGTACCAATACACGATAGCTACTGCTTCAGCAACATTGCAGTAATGCACCCAAGTTGTACAGTTCTGTATTTGCATGCATGCAAACAGCAAAACACACAAACTGCTACGAATAGTGAAATTATAAAATGTTCAGATTGTTCAGATGCCATCCCACAACCCCAGACATGCCGCCTTGGAAGTGATGGCCCTGCAAGTAAGTGGCGCAACAAACTCCATGTTGCACTCAGAAATAGCAACAACAAGGCAACCATCAGCTTTCACGGCCACCTGTGAACAGCTCCAACATGGCGAGTCAAAGTGGCTATGTTCTCATTTCATGCACCCACAATTTCCTACCAATGCCATTCCAGCATGACTCAAGCACCAATCCCACACAAGAACAACCAGAGCACAACATCAACAACTGCTGCAGAGAACCTCTTTGGTAAGACTGAGGGCCCAAGCCAGAGCACCAACCACTGCAATTCCTTCTGCCAAAGTGCTGCTAACCTTCACGGATATTCAGTGATGTTCACTTATACTGAGGGATAGCTGGGGATATTCTTTCGGAAGTGTGCTTAAAAAATTAAGGGATACTTGGGCCATTGTGGGGCACACATGGGGTATTTGGGATTATTTGGGATATTTAGGCCGTGCGGGCCATGTGAGCCGTGCGGGCCTGCAGGCTATGCAGGCTATTGGGATACTTGGGATATTTGGGGTGCTTGGGGTACTTTTGAGAAAATTCTGATACTTTCCAGACATTTGGGATACTTTTAGGGTACTTTGGGACATTATGATTTCCGGGACATTGTGTCCATGCTGCCACCAGCCCCTCACCTATGTACTGCTTTGGGATGGACGCCCCCTTGATCTCCGATACGAACTCCACACCTGCCCCACGTGCCAGCGGTTCCATCAAGATCTCCGCCACACCAAACTGCCCGTGCCCGCCACTCTGCTTCTTGTGGCGCCCCAGGCCGTGGGCCTTGGTCCCCGGGGCCTCGTGGTAGGCCACGTGGGGTGTGGAAAGGGCCAGCTCGATGCCATGGGTGGTCTTTAGGCGCTCCTTGACCACTTCCAGGTGGAGTAGGCCCATGCCGGACAGCAGGAACTCGCTGGTCTCATCGTTACGGGTGAGGCGCAGGGTTGGGTCCTCGTCAAGGAGCTGCAGGGATAGGCGTGCATTATTGTCTTAATCACAATTTTAACATCATTTTTCCAACAATTGCCTGTACTAATTTCATTATTTGCTTTAATTATTCTGGTGTGCAGCGACAGAGCACAGTAAGGAAACGGGAGGCGTGAAGAAGGGCTTCAAGGAGGGTGGAATGGAGTGTGAAGGTTTGGGCACTTTATGCGTGTGAGCAACTTGCTGGCGAATGGATGCGGGGCATGCCCCATTGCGAGTTTGCTGTGTAGTGGCTCAGGCCAGTTCTGCTTGATCTGTTGGATCTGATCTGTGAGACTGTGGGGTCGAGGTGCCACATTGCCTTGTGTAAGGACACACGAACTTTGGATGTACTTGGCAGAAGCTTTGATAGTAGCTGCAAAGAAACAGAAGCTGCAAGGCACAACAACAGGAAGCCTGGGGGATTGAGGGCTGCGGAAATGGAAGCTACAAAGGAAGCAGCTACTGTGACAGCATGGAGTCACAAGGAAGTGAAAGCCAAGCGACCCCTCGAAAAGGTCAACTGTTCGGCTGAGCACACCGGATCCCATGAGCACTGGCTCGCCTCTGGACAGTAGAAGTTGTCAGTGCTCTCGGCGGACTGTTCACTCTTCCAGCCGAATGGTTCACATTCTGGTCCCCTTCAAATCCAATCCTTGTGGCTCTCAAGGCCAGTGATGAGTTTAGCGGCCCTCCATCAGGCAACTATTCAGCATTCAACTGCAGGCTGATGATTCTATGGGTTCATTTCTCCGACATACGCAGATACTCCATTACAGAACTTGCATGCTGGGGGCCCATGCCTTCTGCCTTGCTGTGCATGGAATGTCTTCACACCAGATATCAGCAGGACTTTCGGTGTTCGGCAACAATAGAACATGCAAATACAGGCACATGTATTTAATTGTGTATTTTATCTATTCACACATGTATGCACAATCAAGTGCCCGCCAGGTTTCAGAAAGCGCATGCACAAGTGACGCACCATGTGAATGGCTGACAGCGCCTTTGCATCCTCCTTTGCACTCTTCCCACCTCCAAAATCCAGCCTGAATGTGCACCGCGGCTTTTCAAACTTCAAGGGGTCCAGCGCTACAGGCTTGTTGGGATCACAGACAGTCTGGTTCACCTGTGATGGCACTCTCGTGTCAGCAATAAGCTGCTGGTGCATCCACACCATTGCCATCAGCTCTTTTCTGGAGATTTGGTGCTCTTCAGCAGTCTGTTTGGAACTATTGGACTACAGGTACACCGACTGCAACAGAGCTTACTGCCTCAATGGCAAAACAGCAATCTGAGAAAGAGGATCGTTGAACTAATACGATGTGCTTGCTGACATTCTAACACGCCATTGCAAGCTCTTCCACATGATGTGCGTTCGATCCATGCCATGCTGGTGGGCGGCACTCACGTGAACGTCGCAGTGGTCGAGGACAACAATGTCCCCAGGGTATGCCACACCGCCCTCCACCTCCTCGAGCTCACCTACACGGCTCCACCGCATCAGCTTGTGGCTTGCATATTTGGCCTGTACAGACATGCATCCAACGATCACGTGTAACGGCGTGCTAAGGAGACTTGTGGGTTGTGCAACATTCACTCCTTATTGGGCTGTGGGCGCCAGGCCCTTACTGTCCATGCTGACAGACAAAATAAAATTGAAACTATGAGAATATCGTGATATACAAGCACAGTAAATCGGAATATACAAATATAACACTGCAAATGAAATGCAAATGAAAGTATTAAAGTTAAAATGGCATTAATCACAACAAACAGAGTAAGCTGAAAGTAAAGATACCACTGCAACGAAAGAAAAAGCCTTTCAATTGTGAAAAACATATGCAGTTACGAGTTGCAATGTGCGAGCAGACAAGCTCTTGCCTAAGCACTTAGATATTATTAACAGTTTATTTAACATTTTTAACTACCTGATTCAACATTACCATACAACACAATATTTCATTCAACTACACACAGACATTTGATTCTCATACCTTGATTTTGTGTTTTATTTTATTCAAATTCTTGAAAATTCTGCCAACCATGGCTACACAATTCTTTGTTCTTTACAACACTGCCTTTTCTTGCTGTGCTTTCGGGACAAAACCAACATCGTGTCGTAGGCCACTCAGCGCAATGGCGTTTTGGCTGGCAAAAGCCATCAAAGCAGAATCACCCGTCCCACATTGCTGCACGGCCACAAGCCGTCATTCGCCACACCTTGACAGGGCGCATAACTGGCACAGTTTGTTCGCATGCAAACACAGTGCAGGATGCGAGGCTTCCCGTCTGCCTGAAATCGAGGCGCAGATGCGTCCAACTCCAAGTGCACATTTTGCAATTCGCCCTATAAAGACCAACGCCAAGGAAGGACACAGGAGGGAGATGCATACAAACCTCGGTTCGATTCCGAACGTATTCCACTGCCCTGATCCTTCGAACCTCTGTCGGGAAGAATCTCACGACCTGGATACGGAATGGGATGTGGGGCTCCCCACATCCCCAATATCGAGAACAATATGGGTGCCATATCCCGGGTATGCATATCCAGAATATGCATATGCAGGATATGCATGTGCAGGATATGCATATCCGGGATGGTCATATCCAGGTTGTTCATATCCAGGATGTGCATATCCAGGATGGTCATATCCAGGATGTGCATATCCAGGATGTGCATATCCAGGATGTGCATGTCCAGGATGTGCATATATGTTTCCAGGATGTGCAGTTTCTTTCCAAACAGCGACTGTCGCTCAGCCAATTGTGTCCATGCTCGCCTGCGTGGTGGCATCCATGATCTTGTCCCCCGCCCTGAGCGTCCCCCTGAGCACCAGCACGTCAGAGCACTTGCCCGCATACTTGTCATAGTGGGTGCCGCAGACGTAGCCTGCGAACGGCCCGTTGGGGTCGGGGCTGACTTCCTCCAGTCCCTCAGAGTTCTCTCCGAGCCACTCGCTGCTCGCCGCATTTGGCCCGGCCAAGGGAAAGTGGTCCACCTGCAGCAACAAGTGGATGCATGTGGAGCATGTTTTCTATTCGTTCTCTTGCATTGCTGACACGATCCAATAGAAAACGAACAACACTTTCGAGATTGCTCATCAAACTTCTATTCACTAAGCGTCTTGATTGGCTTCACCGCTCTGGTGGCGTACTGTAACGTGAGAGTGGGGTGGGGTGGGGTGGGGTGGGGTGGGGCGGGTGGGTGGGGTGGGGAATGGGGTGGGGTGGGTGGGGTGGGGTGGGGTGGGGTGGGGGTGGGGTGGGGGGGTGGGGTGGGGTGGGGTGGGGGGTGGGGTGGGTGGGGTGAGGTGGTGACATTGTGGACAGGAGCGTGGGCAACGTGTCATGAAACATGCGACAGTTGGAAATTGAGATATGGATCCTGCTTGTTCATCAGCAGTGGGAAAACTCGCCCAAGAATAGCACATGCACAGCACGAAGTTTGGAATGTAACATTTTGAAACCCAAAAAGCACAGCACGATTTATAAGTGTGGCATTTGGGATGGGAAAAGGTATTCAAATCGCAATGCTGTCGACCTAGAAACGATTCCAGCAAGGTGTCTCACCATGAACTCGTCAAGTTCATCAGCACCCATCCCTGTGGCCGAGCTGCCACAAAGGATGGGCGTCACTGCCCTGCTGAGCACCGACTTTGTCAGTGCTCGCAGCAGCACGTCTTGAGGGGGCACCTCCTCGACCAAGTACGCCTCTGACACGTCTTCGTCGATGTCTGCCTCGGCCAGCACCTCAATCAGATTTGTGAGCCATGCGGTGGCGATGGGCACTGCTGCCTCTGGGAGGGGCACCCTGCAGCGGCAAACCAGAGGGGCATGTAATCAATGCCATAATCATACAGCAGTATTATCGGCACAGCAGGTAGAGGGAGTGGGAAGGCTTCTTGTCCTGGCATTGGCTGCACACAGCAAAGTACAGAACTTAAAACCCCAAATTGGAGCTAATCCACTTTTGATATATAAATAAAAGCCAGCAGATGACTGCCAGATAAATCCGCTGCACAGATTTTGTCACAGAATGAGGGAATGTGCTATGTACCAGAATAAGAAATGGATAATGGCCTTGGCGATGGCCCTTGGCAGGAGTCCCAGATGCTGCATGCAACTATGCGATCTCTAGCACGTGCTTTTTTGACATGCAAGGTATCGTGCCTGACTGCACGTCTGATGTTCAAGACCTTTCCCTTGGGCAACACAGAAAAAAAACGAGCCTCTGGGGGACAAGGGGCACTGCACCCTGCCTTGAAAGGGAGGAATGGTCCCCAATGCACAGCTCCTGCTTGATGACGTCAATCAGCCCCACCAGCGCCCCTGTTTCGGGGTCATGGTAGGGTGCAAAGAGGACAACCACAAGAATGCCGATCGAATCTCTCAGATCGCTCACACACTTTTCGAAGGCATCCTTCCCACCATCGTCCACCTGCAGGATGAAGAGCAGAGATTCGTTGCATTCTTGCAAAGGCGGAATGCATATTTCCATGTAGTCAGTGCTTACTATTTTGATCATAAATAGAACAATAAGCCAATAAAAAGAATTGCAGTCAGTGGGGATGCACTCCACAGGAGATAATCAGCCTTCAGGAGATGGAAGTAAGGCCATAATTGCATTTTTGTACATGGCCGAGCATCATAATCCACACTGGCACTGGCCCAGAAGGTGGCACACAAGCAGATGTGGAATTTGAAACAAGTGGCCTGAAGTGCCTTCAAGGGAGCGATGTATTGATAGCCTATTTCAATCGCCCAGTGCGGCACATTTCATTGTTACGTCGGGTTTGACACTGCCACCATTTGGCAACGCTCAATATCCAGTTCGTCCCAGGCACAGTTCCTCAGAGCCAATCTTTCTACCAAAGTGGCATCAAAAGCTGTGTACGGATGTGGACAGATCATTGCCTTGCCTGTCCGTCCCATCGCTGACACGTCTTCCAGTCCATCGGAAGGGGTGACCAGGTCAAAAGACCATACCAGGCAACAATGCGACTCTAGTGTGTGTTGCATTCACTGCATTAACTGTAGACATGCGAGCATGACAGTCTCCTCTTTTTGTCTGTGGATGTCAGCAGATCGAATGGTCCAGAGTGGTTTAGGACAAATCAGCAGTGGTTCAGGCCTCTTCTTGGCCTGCACCAGCTTTGCGCCAATTAAATACTTCAAAACTAGTTTCTTATGCACATTACCCAAACCCACTTCCCAATTTGACACTAGTCATGACAGAATCGTTGAGTTGCCAACCATTTGGGCCTGGGTGAATTTTAGAACGCAGATGTCATCAGTATGGACAAGAAGTTCATTCCAACTAAGCCCAAAAAGGTGCACAGCACGGCCTGCTTTGTTCTTTGCCAACGAAGCATAAAAGACAGGTGAGTTGTCCAACTCATCTAGGATCCACTCTGTGCAGGGCCAGGAACCCTAAGCACATCAAGCACCGTGCTGGACACACTGATAAGACAGCCCAAATCACGAAAATCTAGCCATGCCCAACATATCCAATTGCTGATAATCGCATGTGAGCAGCAAAACCGCATTTCAGCAAGAATGACTTGTGTGCTCATTAACATGCATTTGGGCACATCTTCCACAATATGCACCTGGCTCACGAACAGTGCCCGTGGCATTTGTGAGGTCTCCAGGTGGTCCCACACCCTCAGGCCTGCACTGTCCACTTTTGCACCCATCTTGGCGACGTACACAGAGCAATTCGCTACTCTTAGAGCCATGTCGATGTGGGGCCTGGACACGCGCAGTTCAGTCACAAACACTGATTTCGGTCTTCAGCCCCTTCATTTCCTGTGGGTGCCTGGGCTTGCTCCAGCCAAGTGAAAATATGCAGTCAAACCAAAAACTTGCTGCCATCTACTTGTTGCAGTGCATGTGTGAATGTCATATTCGTAACCAATGAACTGATGTTGCTTTTTGCACCCATTTGCACCAGCTTAAAAATGGAATCATGTTTGCAGTGTTGACTCTTCGTCGACTGAGCAGTACCTAGCCAGAACTACTATTGTAGTTTAGCCATACTTGCCCCTTTAATTTGTTGACAGTAATTGCGACCGTGAGATGAACTTGTGCATTTGCAGCTTGATGGCAACGCCAGACTTCAGAAACACCCAGTTTGCCACAGTGGGCTGTAAGTCAGTCAATGGGCTTAAATGCAAGGCCTAGCCAAAAGCAGCACAGGCAAATTGCACCCAAGAAAGACGAAACTTGGGTGCTTTGCCCCTTAACTGGGAGAATGTGAATAATGCTTGCCCGATGGAGATGCTTCACAGCTGATGTGCAATGGACGATGAATCTCTGAGACAAAACCTAGCGAATATGACAAAATCCCAACACTGCCCCATCCGAACAAGGACATTATGTTTTGCTGCATTTCAACAACAGCAACTAATCACCATTAAGAAAATCAGCTATGGCCAATTGAGTTGGCATTGCCTGTGAATGATGCCAGACTTAATGATCTGCAGGTCACAAAATAGTGCCCGTCGTCCCATGCAAGAGTATTTGATTGTGAGCACCCACATCACATTGCATACATTGTCCAATTGTGCATTGTACATTGTACATCGCATACAGTACATTGAAGGCCCTACAATCTCTCAACGTGGCCTGGGCTGTCCACAATCTGCAGCCGATGGGACCCGCAGTCCACAGCATAGAGGTGGTTGTACAGAGTCGTGTTGAAATGCGTTGCAGACTCCTGTGGCAAGCGATACACAAGAGGGTGAAGATCGAACTGGCACAGTACATACTGGAGTTAAGAAAAGGGAACAAATGATGCAGACTCCGGAACAACTTGAATAGCCTGTGGTAAGGACCAACATGCTTTCTTGTCAAACGTCTTGTGTGGAGCACACAAGTATGTAATTACCACAAGACACCAACACATGGCACGCAACTGAGTAATCAGCACCAGAAACCTATGCATGGTTCAGACTGCAGAAGTGCATGAACACATGAAGCACGAGAAGCGCATTCGTGCCAGACAATGCCCAACAACATGCACAATGGTGACAGTGCCAGGTGTAATGGTGATTCACATTCCAGGTTGTGGCCGAAATGCCAAATGCACAATGTGAATTCGGTGCCGCGATCGAAGCACCATGTGGATGCAGCCACGTGCAGTGGGCCCAATGGAGGAGACACCAACCATATGGGAAGACCTGTGAGTCAGAGTCATGGGCAAGAGAATGGCCTGAATTAACTCCAAATACAACCATTCACATCCACAAGAACCAGTTTTTGAGATTCTTATCCTTCTGGTCACTCATGAAAGTCCAGTCCTGGGCACACTCTTGAAATGTGTCTTGAAATGTGTTTCATCTGCAGCTAATCTGCATCCCAAGGTAGTTACCTCTGTAGTCAGTTCATCTGCCGATGGTTGTCCAAGAGAGAGGCTTGAGAGGGAGCCCCTTTCTTTACCAGGCTGCCAGAAGCACATCACAGAAGCATGCTGAAGGAATGTGCAGAATGCGGAAGCACATGTTTAGGGAGGCTGAACAGCAGAAGGCACAGTAATGAATGGCTTCTTGGCTACATATCTTATCATTGATAGCGAAAATGGACGTTGCCAATGATTTGCAATGAACAGCAAACCATGCTTATGGAAATTTCAGCAACCTCAAGCCCATGTTGTGCATCCGCAGTGGGCTATTGTGGTTTGACTTGAAAGGAATCAACTGCCGAGTCAAGAAACAACAGGAGTACTACTTGTCCCAATCGTATCATTGGTACAGCCAAGTGCACTGAAGCAGCAAAGCAGGTTTTGTAACTGGACTCATCAGCCATGTCCGCTTAACACCCAGAAAAAACATGTGTGGCTTCTACAGTGTTAAATGTGATGCAACACTTTGCAGATACAAAACATCCAGCAAATGCAACATCGACACTGCAAAAAAAAGGAAATGAGGACAAGCACCATTGCCAAGCAAAACAGCATCCTGCAGAGATATCTCCATTGACTGTGATAACATTTCTGACTCAGCAGCTGCCAAACCACCTTTGAGCACTTGTGTGCGTAGACCTGTCGGGCAGTGTGTAACAATCCATTTGACGGCATTCACCAATGCATGACAAACATTTGCACCAAAAGGACAACATCTGGTGGTTCCAACCACAAGGGCACCCCATCGCGCACATGCCAACCAGGCATCGAACAGGCAGAAGCAGGGTGTCCTTTGGCAATTCCTCTGGCAAAGAAAGGAATTGCTGTTTTCAGCTTTCAGACATCTGACAAACCTGACAAACCGATGAGCAGCAAAGCCAACTGCTCTGCTTGGTCATGCTTTCCACCCCAACTTCATCTTTTCTCATCAATATGGGGCGAAAGCGCAAGCCCCCGTAACTGTCTGTACAGATGCTCTGTGCAACATGTTCAAGAGTGTGGCGATGACATTGAGCTTGAGTTCGTTGTTTTTAGTGCAGATGCCCAATTTGTCGTATTCAGCCCTTCTACAGGGTTGCACTGCAATTTCGCCCCTTTCCGTGGAGCAGCACATATACGCTGCTCAGATGGAGAAATACGCAGGAAAAATTGGAAAAGCCATGGACAAATGCAGAGCTGAACTTCGCAGACCGCCCAGATTCTTTTCACTGCGGAGGCCATGCAGAGCACAACTGAATAGGTTTCTGTTTGTTAGGGAAATTCGGGGGATTATACCCTTGAAAAGCAAAGCCAAGTACTGAAAACATGAAAGGGTTGGTCATGGTACAGTTGTTTCCTTGCTCCAGCCACAAACAGCAGATGTCGCACATATCCACATTGTTTGCATCCACCAAAAAAAGCAACAAATCCAGGACTGTTTATGGTACTGCTGTTTTCTTGCTCCAGCCGCAAACAGCAGCAGAAGCACATATCTGCATTGCTTGCATCCATTCAAAACAGTGACAAATCACACCACTTACAACCAAAAGGCAAACTCTGGCACCATTCCCACGACTGACTGTTTGCTTCCTGAGGGTTTTTGCTGTTGCTCCCCAAACATTCGAATTAGTTTGGCATTCGTGGTCTAAGCTCCCTAGAGTCTGAGCAGTCAATGACCCTATGCATAAGTCGACTTCATGGTGGTCAGCACAGAATGTAGGGAACAACAACTGTGTTCAGTTCGGCTCACCAAACATCCCTCTATGTGCTTCTGCTGCGAGTAGGGGTAGCCTACACTAGCTTATGGCCCTCAATGCATTGGGAAACTGGTTTGCAGCGTCAGATTCGTGTGAGACTTGCGTAAGGCTGCGCATGTTGCCCCAAAGGTGAACTGCCACCTCGACCATTCACAGCAGAACGTCTCCACTTTCCTTGAACCCGAACAAAGCGCATCGGGAGACGCCCCCAAGCTGACAGGAAGCGTTTCCTGTTTGCCTGGACTCGCAAGTGCCCCTGGATTCCTCATCCCCCGATCAGCACAGTTCCGTGAGAAACGCGCACTGCAAAAGCGGGGGTTCATTTTGCAAGCGGAGGCGTCAAGAATGTGCCCAATCACTCGCCCAATCTCCTCAGCAGCCAGCGCACCCCAAACTCCAAACCAAGCTGTCATCAAAATCTAAGGGAAAAAACGGTGGGTGACCAACAAACACAGGCCCGTCAAAGGTCTTCCCTCCTTCTCCACCGACCACGAGGGCACCCACCTGCAACCTCAGCAGTTCCGCCGCGAGCCGCGTCTTTCCCGCGCCGTCCCTTCCCACGATCGCCACTGTCAGCGACGGCACATGGCCGTCGGAGGTCAGCGCCTCCGCCGCGTCAGCCGTCGGCGCAGCCGCCCCCGCCGATCGCGGCGCCGCCGCATCGCGCAGCGCCGATCCTCGCCTTCCCCCCACCCCCCCAACGGATCTCGAAAATGGCCCGTCCGCATCAGAGGCGCTCCTCGCCGGTCGGTGCAAAGGTTTGACCCTTGTCGCTGGCGCGTTGCGCACGACGGCCGACGCCGCTTGAACAGTTTGGAGATCTGAGCCCTGAGGAACCATGAGAGCGGGAAGGGCTCCAGGAGACATTCCCCGGAAGGCTGGGGGGGGTGGTCTTGTGACAAGCCACGCGTTCGGACGCGTTGGTTGGCAGAAGAGGTCGAGTGGGGCTCTATCAGAAGGTGGATGTCTTTGCTGGGGGGGGGGGCACGTGGTGCCGTGTTGGGGCCACGTGGGTCCCACGTGCGCGATCCCGGGGGAGATCCCGGCTCCACGGGGGGGCATTGTCGCGCGGCATACAATTGCTGCACCAAATCGGTGACTGCTTGCACCAGCTCCCTCCAAAACTTACCTAACCTAAAGCCTAAACCCTAAAACTAAAACTTCCCTAACCCGAAAAAATGAGGCTAGGACATAGTGTTCACGTGATTTAGTGCAAGCATTCACCGATTTGGTGCAGGCAGTAATATTATTTCTTGTCGCACCATACTTGAAAATGGGGACAAAAACGAGAATGATGTGCGAAGATGAACGTAGACGGAAGACGTTCGGATGGGCACTGCTACATCAACAACAGATGATTACCATCTAATGCACTTACAGTAGTAGTACTCCACGCGCTCGACCACAAAGCCAACGTAAGCATTTTCCCATTACTCCTGTGCAATTGGTTGCACTCTAGATCTAGAAGAAGACAGAAGTACGCTTCCCACCATATGCGCAATCATATAGGTGGTGGTAAGTGAAGTCCCTCAAGCAGACCTGCCGCCCTCGGTTATTGCAAGCGAGCGAAGCGAGTGGAGCTTTATAGAGCTAAATCACGATTTTGGCTGACCGTCGGCAGCTGAACACATGCCGCCTGGCGCGGCGCTCCATTCTTGCCACATTCCGCCCGGGACTGGGCCGCTCTGCACTTTGGTCGCTCGCAGTCGCTCGGCGGGGAGATGCCTCGGGCGTCGATCCCCCTGTGCTCGGCTCGGAGACGCTGGCAAGGCGCGTCTCGTCAGGGTGCTCGCTTATTCATTCCATGTGGTGGGTCCAGGGTATGTGGCCTGTGGGGAGCCTCAGATGAGGCAGTACGGTGTGTGGTCAGCGAGGTGGGGCACGCCGCGGAGGGGGCATAGCTGGAGTGGGCAAGGATCAGTCACAAATGCGAGAAACGGAGTATGAATTACAGAGCGGCACAATACGCCGCTCTTATACTCCCATCAAGCCAAGAAGCTTCTGTGGCTCCAAGCTATCCCACATGGGGCTGAATCGGCCCCAGATCCTTTCCCACATACCAGAGCCAAGGGGGAACATTTGTAATAACTCTAGTAAATCATTAATAGTCCCTTTTTAGTACTTTAAAAGAAAGGAGAGTGTTGCGGGGCCCTTCCGATGGCCCGGCTGGTCCCCTTTTTCTTGTGCGTATCCCACTTCATTTGCCTGCACCCGGTTGGGCCGATGGCCCCTCCGCCGAGCCCGGCGGGCGTAATCGGGGTGCTCGCTCGTTCATTGCACGGTGGGCCCTCTTGCGCTTTGGGATCAGGCAATCCTGCCATTCGAAGACGGCGGGGTGCAAGGCAGCTTGCTCCCCGGGCCGGGAGGCCCGTGCGGAGCGCGGCAGTGAGCCAAACGGGTAATAGAGCAGGGAGAAATGCACCCCCGCGTACGTACTGGTGGTCGGCCACATTCCGGTCTGGCCACCCATCACACAGACACCACAGAATGTACATCAACGTATCATGACTGTATCGCCCAGCATACCCTATATCGGACCCACTATCGATACATCATAGCCCAATCTACCCCCACGGCCTGTCCCCTAAGTACAGGGACTTCCCTAGGTTATACACTACTCCTTACTTGGGGGATTTAGACAAATAAAGAACCTACGAGTATCCAAAGATCATAAAGAATCCAAATAATGGGTTTAATCCCACAAACAACTAACCAACCAAGACAAATGGCCATAATTCTCTCGACCCCTATGTGTTTCCACAACAGAGAGGCCTTTAAGTGCCGTGGGGAGTCCAAAGCAAGGGCTTTCCCTTAGAAACCTTGGGGCCCAAATTTCCTACTTCCCAAAAAGCCCTCAATAGTGGCGCTTTGAAGATGTGCCCTCAGAATAGTACGTACAATACCTTTCTTAGCTTTGGATATGAAAAGCAAGGCTTCGGAAGGTATTCCCCTAATACTGCAAATCTTTTTAATTGTACCAAAGGTGTAACTATTAGCAAAGTAGCTCATTAACACTAGAATGTGCTTGCCAATTAAATTGGTTGGCAATAAGCTTTTGAATGAGCAGAAATGGGCCATCCCCTATGATTTCCACAACACCGCTGATTGCTCACCACACATGCACTGCCCCCTCCCTGAGCTTCTCGGCGCCGCGTGCTATGCGCAGGTGGCACGCGGCGCGGATGCCGACCGGCTACATGCTGGCCCTCCCCGGCTTCCTTACACCTCACGCAGAGCGTGGCATGGACGCCAACTGCCCATTGATGACCCTCCCTGGACATCCTTGCGCCTCGCGCAGTGCACGGCATGCGCGTCGACCACCCACTCACACCCTCCCTGCTGCGGCCCCATCGGCAACCGCTGGTTTCCGGAGGCGTTGGGGTCATGATACATGAGGATTGTTGGTGTGGGGCTCCTGCCCTCTTTGAGCCATGGACCCGCCTCGTCGGGCACCTAGGTCCTTACGGGGACCTAGGTGGGACCACCCCAACCTACTCCTATATTTAATAGTATTGTATAAGCTGGTTGGGGTATCATTACCATATCTTGGGCAAGGCGTTCCCCACACCAAGGAGCCATTAGTAGGGCGGCCCCCACATTAGGCCAGTGTGCATAACATTCATACCCCTCAGGGAGGTGGGACGTCCTCGTCCCAGTGCGGTGATATGGGAGTAGATGCATGCTTGGCTATTGAGCCTGCTGTGGGTAAAAATTGGTTGTGCATCTTGCCACATGCCCACTTATTCACATAGTTATATCACATGTACATTGAAGAGAAAGAGTGGTTGTTACATGGAAAACGTTTCTGCTGACAACCCTCATTAAAACTCTTCCTTCAACTTACGGGCTAGAAAGACATAACATCACAATAATGTACAATCCCCTCAACGACCTTTCAACCTGCCTATGACCTCTCAGCCTGCTCAAATCCAGAAAATGTCTATGACATACAGGTATCACCCTGCACGTCCCCCCTTGCGACCACCCCCGGCCATCCACGAACGACCTCATCCTTGTGGTGTGTAGCTGGGGGGCGTCCTCGACCGCGCCCATAGCCAGATGGCACCACCAATGGGCCGCCACTTTGGACTCTCTCTCCACTCATGATGGCAATAGCCATCACATTCATATGGGCAAATATTGAGTGGGACCTGGACCCTTGGTATCCAGTATTCTTTTGGACCCATCGCAATATCGCCTATCACATAGAAAGCACAGACTTGCTCATATCAGTGTGTACATCTCGTATTGCATGTATTGCGACCAGTTTGCACATTTACCATAGGGGTTCTGCTATTTTCAAATGCTTAAACCAATTTCTGTGTATTTGCAACTACTTTTGCTGATTCCCAGTTGTTATGTTTATGTCCATAACCCAGCCATTTGACAAGGTACTCTACGGAGTCTTGTCTATGACCACATTTTTTAATTCTTTTATCCAGAATACGTTCAACTTCATACTCCAATTCCCCTTCGATCTCAATAGGGATTGGGGGTGGTTGTACTCTACCACTAGCCTTATACGGCTTGAGTTTTGATACATGGAAAACCGGATGTATCTTACTCATGTTGTCTGGAAGTTCTAGTCAATATGCAACAGAACCTATCCGGTCGAAGATGGTGAAGGGCCCAATCCACCTCATTAATAGTTTTCAAGTTTCAATGTACATGAGGGTAATATGTTGCGTCAAAAGGAGGACGTCATCTTCTTTATTATACAACACATCCCTCCGATGGCAATCAACATGCTTTGACTGCCTAGCCCAAGTTTTTTCTAAGCACGCCCTAGCCTCTTTCAGTGTTGATTGGACACAATGATCAAATCACGTCACTGCTGGTAATCCCTCCACAAGGGGCTTACCATTTCGCCTCAAATAAGGCTATTGTGCCCTATCAATGGCCACTACCAAGCTGCGGGTACCTGGATTGTCATAGCCTTTCAAAGGCTTCCGAATTTGCTCCCCAAGAGCTAAGGGACTCCTTGGGTGTTGACTATAGTTCGAATAGAACGGGGTCTCTTGGGTTGAACTATTTTTCGAGTTGTTCATTGCAAACTCGGCCATGTCTATCAGTTCATCCCACGCATCTTGATCAGAATATGCATAACTGCGTAAGTAGTCCTCCAGAATCTGATTGATAACTTTAGTCTGGCCATCCATTTGTGGATGGTACACAGTGCTCATGTTGAGCCGTACTTTCCACCTCTCGGCTAGGTACCGGTCAAACCTTTAAGCGAACCGAACATCTTTGTTGGACACTATCGTAGAGGGGAGACCATGGTGCTATATCACATTCTACACAATAGGTTTGCTGCTCCTTCTGCGGAGACTTTAGTCATAGTGGTTGTGAGGCGCACCATTCTGGTCAACATATCGACTAAAATGACGATAGCATTATGACCTCCCTTAGTTTTTGGCAGTTGTGTAATGAAATCCATGGACAATTCATTCCATGGCTCCTCAGGAATGCCCAATGGCTATAACAAGCCTAGGGTCTTTTGATCAAAATACTTAGCCTGTTGACAAACCAGGCAACTATCAACATATAGTTGTACTTCTCATCGTATTCCTGGCGACCAGTAATACCGCTGGGCTAAGTCCAAGGTTTTGGCTTGACCAAAGTGTCCCGCACTCGGATGGTCATGTGCCAACTGGCAGATCTCAGTCCTTAGACTGGCTGGTA